TATATATATATATATATATATATATATAGATATAGATTAGATAAAGCCAGGAAAAAGTAATTCCATATTTATAGCGTCGTGGCTAAGGCTTCCCTTGATCATATTAATGTGTATAAAAAAGGGCCGGTCTCGCAACCAATGTTGAATATGGATATTTTTGGATACGGATATAAATTTTAAAAAAAAAATGAAAACAATTGTTTGCATATAATTTTATTTTACCACGCGAAGTAATTGATTTTGTCATTAAATTAAATAATTTAATAGCAATTATTGCATAATAAAAAAAATTTAAATTTGATTATATCATAGACAAATGTAATAAGTGCAAAACTATGAAAAATTACTTTTCACTTACTAAAAAAAATCTATATATATACATATATATCTATGCCTTTAAATTATCCTATAAAATATAAATACCATGTGACCTGTCACATATGGAAATATGGTGGAAGGAGGGAGAGCGTTAAACTAGCACTCCTTTTCGAAAACTGGTACCGAAACGAAACTGCAAGCAAATGACTGCGGTGTGAGTAAAAAACGCGTGGAAAATTGAACAAATCAGAGTCTACTGGTAGATGCTCGCGCATCCTCTCACCCACATATGGCAAAACTCGAATAAATCCCTTCTCATTTTTTGTTTGTGATAGAAAAAGTCCCTTGGTTCTGTTTTTTTCTGATTTTAAGAAGTTTCTTCTTACTGCTCTTCCAATTCCAATTCATTACCCTCTATTTAGTAATTACCACCTCATTCTGACATTGAAAGGAACAAAATTTCCTGTTCTTTAATTTTTTGAGTCCCAAATACCCCTCTTAATTGTGTGAGAGAGAGAGAAAAAAAAAAAGAAGAAACAAAGCATGCAACTTACACACATTGTCTCAATTAATCCCCCTCTTATTTTCTCTTTCTTCTCTCATTCCCATTTACTCTCAAGGAGTGAAGACCTCTTTTACTCATTTTTCTCAGAACCCTTTTCTCCATTTCTTAATCCTCAGATCAATGAAAAAGTTGAATCCTTTTGAGTTTTTGAGATGAACCCTTTTTTCTTGATTGATCAAATACCAATGGGTATGATCTTGATTTTCATCTCCTTCACTCTGTTAAACTCAATTCCACCTTCATGTAAGTACTCATCCCCCCCGCCCCCCACAGTTTCTTCTCCTTTTTGCTAAATTTTATTTTGACCCTATCTCACACTGAATCATTTCAAAATTCAGTGTAAAGTTGTTAACTTTTCTTCTTTTTGATGGAAATGCAGATGGGTATGACCCAATGGATCCTCAAGGCAACATAACCATAAAATGGGATCTTTTGCAATCCAATTTAGGAACAAATGATGTAAGTTAATTAATTTAATGATTTTATTAATATTTTATTTTATCTTCTAATTTTTCAGTCCTTCCTTTTGATTTAGGAAGAAAAATGATTAATTTTTGTATAAAAAAATCGAAAGGAATGCTTAAAAAAACTTTAATTTTTTGAAACAGGAACATTATTAACTCCAGTGGATGTTTTACCTTTTCAGTTCCATGCGTTATAGAATGACTGCTGGTATAGATTTGGCCATATGGCCATACTTTCTATGTTTGTCTCCAGTTGTGTCTGGTGCAGCTGGGCCCCACTGTGTTAGTCTTTTTGACCAATCGCGTTACCCGCCAAATCATCTCAAACAGTCATAATGTTGTATTCTTCACACGTCCTTCACTGATTGGCTAACAACTTATGTCACATTTCTGTATTTTGGTTGTGGTGTGGCCTCAAAATCTGTTCATTGATTTCCCTAACTTGCAGCTGAAGGTATCAATCTACAACTATCAGCTCTACCGCCATATAGAGCCTCCTGGATGGAAATTGGGATGGTTTTGGACAGGCGAGGAGGTAATTTGGAGCATGTTTGGAGCTCAAGCAACACAGCAAGGGAACTGCTCCAGGTTCAGGGGAGGACAGCTTCCTCATAGTTGTGAGAAGGCACCAGAGATTGTGGACCTTTTGCCAGGGACCCCATATAACTTGCAGACTTCAAACTGTTGCAAAGGAGGCGTCCTTACGTCGATGACACAAGACCCTTCAAAGTACGGTGCCAGTTTTCAAATGAATGTTGGAGGCACCACTGACCCCGGTAACTTCACAATGCCAATTAATTTCACTCTAGGAATTCCAGGGTATAGTTGTCCAAATTCTACTCAGGTTCCCCCATCCAAGTTTACTTCAGATGGTGGCAGAAGATGGACACAAGCCCTCGGTAAGTGAACATTTTTTTACTCCATGTTAGTGAGATTTGAACCTAAAACTTTCAACTTCGAATTTCACGTGTGAAAATGTTGTAGGGACATGGCAAGTGACATGTGTCTACTCCCAGTCTTTAGCATCCCCTTCGCCAAAATGCTGTGTTTCGTTGTCTGCATTCTACGACAATACGATTGTCCCTTGCCCTCAATGCAGCTGCGGATGCCAAGGATTACCTGGATCAGAATGTGTAAAGTAAGATCCTTAGTTCGACTTTCTGTTCACATTTTCTTTTGAGTTAGTGGAACGGATAGATATGGTGTTTCATTTATTTCAGGTTCGGTGAAACATCGTCATTGCTGCAACAAATTCAGGATCCGACTCAAGCTCCACCCCCGCTGGTGAGGTGTACCCGTCATCTGTGCCCGATACAGGTACATTGGCATGTCAAACAAAGTTACAAAGAATATTGGAGGATTAAGATAACAGTGACGAATCTGAACATTATCAAGAATTATTCTGACTGGAACTTGGTGGTTTCGCATCCCAATTTGCAAAGTGTTATTCAAGTCTTCAGTTTCAACTACAAATCACTTGACCAATATGCCAGCTTCAGTAAGTTGAATCAAACCCCAAAAATTTATCATATGCCTTTCTTTTTTCATTTTTCATTTTAAAAAAAAAATAATATTGTTGATTGATTTATGGACATGAGAGATTCAAACGTTTTCAGATCCATAATCACAATTTGTTATTTAATTACTATATAGATGATACGGCGATGTTTTGGGGCATTCACTTCTACAATGACATGCTGCTGCAACAAGGTGACCAAGGGAATGTTCAGTCTGAAATTTTACTACACAAAGATCCTGGATTATTCACTTTCAGGGAAGGATGGGCTTTTCCGAGGAGGATTTACTTCAACGGCTATGACTGTGTCATGCCTCCTCCCGATCGGTACCCAAGGCTGCCCAATGTCGGAAGTACTGACAAATCAAGTCATTCTGTCATCGTTCTCTCATTTTTGTTGCTATTAGTTATGTTCTGAAACAATGATGAGATAAGAGTTCAATCTACAACTTGTACCAGACTAGAGACTACAGAGTTCATCTCTACGGCGTTTTACTTTGAAATAGTTTTCAGATTCCCCACACGTAATGTAAACCAAACATAACAGAAGGAAAAAACATGGATTTCATTAACAATGCATTACAAGCAATGCACCTTGAAACAGCCTACGGGATCTCTGCATTAGGTTAGATCCACCAAGATGGATACTTGAAATGGAGAAAAATGGTACATAAGAATTTTCCAAATCATAACCATCAAACACGCAAGAATATACTCAAAAATACAGAATCTGTTCTGAAATTTACCACCTCAGGTGAGTCATGCCAGAGACAACAATATTCTGGCAATGACTACCAGGTGCACATGAAGATATTAATTTGTCAAAATAAAAGAGGGGAAGGCAAGAATAAAATGAACAGATTAGACAAAGGGCATTGCGATTGGATGAGCTTGGTTTTTTTAACGCATGAAACAACTATCTTTTGTCAGCATGGCAGCATTTGTTGTGGGCAAGTGCAAAACACAGTTCCAGCTAAATTAACTATCTAAATGCGGAGTGAACCAGTTACAGGGTCACATCCAGAACTAGCCTCCTTGTGTTTCAGAGAGAGATTTGCGAACTGGGAATCTAGATCTGTACTACTAGTGCGCCGATGGGTTGTTGATGGCTGTTGTTGTTGTTGCTGCTGCTGATTTTGTTGTTGTTGCTGCTGGTACAAGGCTCGTAACCTTCCAATCTCCCTCTCCAACACTTCCTGTTCCACTGAGCACAATGTTTGCACACATTTTAGTCTCCATACAATATTGCTTTTCTATTTAATAAAATATTGCAAGTCATGGCAATGGAGATCAACATTGAATACCATATAATATTAACAAATTTACATAAGATATTGCGTAAACTAACAGCAATAGGCTCCTAGTGGATGGAACTACCTGTTCAAAAAGTACAAATAGATGACATGGAAGAGAACGTATAAGAATGGACTTAGATGCCACATCTAGACACTTACAGTATTTAATAGCCTGCTCCTGAGCTAAACTCTCCAAACGTTGCTTAAGGGCTTTGTTCTCCATGCTAAGAATAAGATGCTGCTGGTTAAGAAATTCAAGCTCAGCTGAAACCTCAGATCCTTCTGCCTGTTAAGTATCAGACTATTAATACAACAACAACAACAACAAAAAAGAAGGAAAAGAAAACCCTGCCAAGACCAGTCCCTTAATTAGAAATCAAATTCAAAAGCAAGCAATGGCTTAGTTTCTAACGCCTTGCCTGCAAAGCTTGCACATTTCTTTCCAGTTCAGCTATGTACTGAAGTTTTCGCACCCTTGAGCGCTGAGCAAATTGCCTGTAATAGAAGGCAATAAATTCTTTTATCAAACATTTTACTTCACTCTAGGAACATTTCCCTAATTACTAATTCATCATTTTGCAAGGAAACATCAAAATAGGCCACTTACTGTTTTGCACGTTTTGTATCAGTGTCTGATGCAGAAGGCTTGGCATGAGAAGTATCCTTTTTCCCAGAAGCTTTTGGATCCCGTGGCACAGATTCAGCTGAATCCTGTTTTTCTCTAGCAGTTGGTTGAACTTCTGCTTCCTGTGGAGAGCTGGCAGAAACTGAACCATGGTGAACAGTGTTATCTCCAGAAGAAGGAATCCCACTTGAATGGGCAGTCTCCCTAGCAGAAGGAAGCCCACTCGGATGAATTCTAGCATTCAATAATGAATGAGTATCCCATGCCCTGTTCTGCTTCATCATTTTTGAATCATTGTAGAAAGAGGCAAGTTGAGCATCCCTATGATTGCAATAATCAAAATCTTGAGATCCCCAAGCAGGTGCAGACATCATATTTTTGTGCCTATACTCATCCTGAGCTGCATAATCTGTTGTAGAAGCATTAGCTGCATCAAGGTATGCAAAGGAATCACTTGATGAACGCCGATGACCTCCTTTACGCACAGGAGTCTCTGGTTCATTAAGGAGATCATCAAGCCAAGAAGGTTGCTCCTCTATCAGAAGGCTCTCAGAGGAAGTACGTTGGTGACGTGCCTTTCCCTCCCTAGGCTTTTGAACAGCTTTTGATCCAATAACATTGCTGGGCACATAGTCAGTATATGTTGAGGAAACGCTAGGATATGGACTTTTTGGAGGTAGTAAAGCATGCTTTCCAGAGTACATCAGATTTCTTATGTTTGTGGATCCCTTCGAATTTGCCATAACCAAGCAGAGGCAGTCCCTGCAGAAAGTACAGTAGAGGATTGACATTACTAACACGAGAGGCAGAAAGCATAAGATTGAGAGAGAACCAAAAAGTAAGAAGAGAATTTTTGGACCAGATACACCAGCACTTCTATCACAGCAAGCAACCTTTGTGCCAAGGAGCAGAGTCCATGCCAAAATGAGAAAGGAGAACAAGAAAATTTGTATATTGTTTGCAATTAACTAAGCATAATGCAGATAAACCAATTTTAACCTAACAAAATCACATAGTTGCAATATTTTTGGTTATTCGTCTAAAACCCACCCCATGTAAGAACACCAAGAAACAATGATAAGAATTCCCGCTTCTTGTATCCACCTTGATGAAAGCTGATTATATTGCAGGACATCATTCATATATTGTATGCATTTGACTTGTTTGAACTTTAGTCTCCCATAACATAGACAAAAGACTAGAAACTTCAAGTCAGAAAAAACATGTCCCCATTTCCAATTCCCTGTAAGATTCTCTAGCTTGATTATGATCAAAATGTTAACACTTTCCCACAACTCTAGTCCCTCAACTAAATAAGATAAACTCCAATCCATTTTTTGTGGCTAGATTATAGATCAGATCAGGGTTCTGCAAAAGACATGATTTTTAATTTACATTACAAACTACATTTTTTTTTATAGAATTGGATTATGAAAAGCAATACCTATCAAAATCTACTGACTAAAATTAACTCACTATAATTCCTGCCAAAATTATGATCACAAAATGAAATTAGTAAATAATCTAAATTTAATTGTTTTACATCCTGATAATAAAAAATAAAGCAAATTAAAAAAAAAAAAAATTCAGGACGTCGAAAATTGCTAATTGCAATGTGATATAACTGGGCAGACATAGAACACTGAAATCAGAAACACTTAAAAAATTTTTCTTTCTCTCCATTTTCTCAGCAATCAAACAGTACATAACACAAAATCAAAGTTCCCATATGTAAACAAATGCGCAGCTCAAAAAACTAACAGAAAAAAATAACCCCACAAATCAAGATTGTAAATTCAGGGAGACAAACACGAATTTGAACTCACCCAAAACAGAGTATTCAAAAGCAGATTCGTTTCTGGATTCAAACCCCAAAAAACAATCAAACAAAAATGAAAATGTCTATTTTGAAAAAGAATTCAAGCTCACCTTTTGCCAAAATTGAGATCTCGAAATGTAATGCTTCAAAGTTTCGCAATCCAAAGTGATGTTACTCTCTCCTAGGCTTTTCGTTTTCCCTTTTTCCTTTTTTTAGTGTTTTTGTTGCTCTCTCTTACGAATCCTCTCTGTCTCTGTTCCTCTTGTAGTTGGAAGTCAGATAGACTAAAGGACCGGATTGACAATTTAAGAAAAATAAGGAGTGGCTTTTGATCTTTAAAATTTTTGATATTTTCCTTTTCACCCTCAAGAAAGGCCAATATGGTGGTTTTTATGGGTATATTTTGGTACTTGAAATTTTTATTATTTTCATTTTCATCCACTCATATGGTAGGTGTAAATGCCATACCAAATAAAATCATGCTCTTTAAGGAAAAAGATTCTTGCTTATTAAATTTGCCAGAATAGTTGCCATGTTGTATCATGTGATGTTAAGGAAATTGTTTAATTGTTTGATTGTCCTTGTGCCTCTTAAAGAGGAAATTTTTGGAATTAATTTAAATGAGGAGAGGTAATATTATTTGTCCCATTTTTTTGTCCCATCTCAATACCTCATGTCAAACTTGTAATCTTCCTCCCTGGAAAAGAGATCATGGTTTAGCCAAACTTCTTTTCAGTTTGGTGGTTTTGCCAAACATTTGCAGGCATGAGTTGGGAATGGTTTTTCCTCCTTTAACTGTGTTCGGTACAGAGGGCTTTCTAAAAAAAAAAAAAACAACCTGAACTATAAAATATATATATATATATATATATTGAAGAAAGTTAGAGGAACAATAAAATGATAAGTTGACATTTTCACTTTATTTTTGTACTTCGTACAAGCCTAATAAAAAAGAGTTCTTCTCATTAATATGTGAGGAAAAGAGTTTTGACCAAACAAGGGAAAATTAATAATACAAACAAAACTTACAAATTGTCAACTTTCCAATAAATCTTCTTAATTAACAATCTTTTCAAACAAAACGTTTTCCAAACCAAACATATCTTTAAAATTAAGTCAAATATATATATATATATTTGAAGCATTTTTTTGTTCTTATTTTCTAATGTTTGAACAATGTCAATCAAGTTAATTATTATTGTTTTTCTATGAGAAATTTGTGTCAATAGTATTTTCTTTTAAAAAAATGTTTTTTTAAAATTAGTTTGAATAATAAAAGTGCAGTTATTAATAAAATTATTTTTTAATTTATTAATAACGTTTTAATAATTTTAATATTCAAATTATAATTTTATTCTACAATCTCACCAGAAAAGCATAAAAGTTAGTTTCTTTTTAAGGCAAGATAGTTCTTAACTTCTTAAATATACCATCATCCATCTTTATTCACACTAGATATTTTTTATATGTATTTAATTTATAAAAATACAAATATTTTGAAAGTTGCATTTGAGATTTTTATTGAGAAAAATGAGTGCATGCAAAAAAGTGACGACAACTTGTGATGGTAATGGAGATTTCTTTTGGGAATTCTTTTGTTTCTGAGTTGGGAGTGAGTTAATTACACGTAAAGTTCAACTCAAATGCAAGTTGCTCTTAATGATATTTTTTTATCTCACCAATTATCTATGTGAGAGAAAGAAGAGAGCATAAAAAAAAAAAAAGGCATAATAAGACAACCAACTCTCCACACATAAAAATGTGGACAAAGGAGACAAGAAATTTCATACCCACACATGTCCTCAGAAGTGTCCATTAGATTCAGCCAACATATTCTCCTATTCTCACCCCAAAATCACAATTTTGAGACCCACATACGAATTTACCTCTGGGGGATGTTTTACATCACGAGGATGCGAGTATGTTGTGTTCCAATAAAATTATATTAAATTCTGTAAATAAAAAAAATAATCTTTATATTAAAAAATTCATTATTTATTTAAATAAAAATGATTTATACACATTTAATTCAATATATTTTTTTGATATATTTTTAGTTTAATTATTAAAAATATAATATAAATACATTTGATTCAATTAGTTACTACATTTTATATATATAATTGTATTTTTAAATTTATTTGTCTTTAATTTCAAATCCAAAAATACTAATTTTTAATAAATATGTTGGGCAGAATATTAAACTAAAATATATATCAATCACTATCCCTTATTTAAAAAATTTATATTTTATAATTTAATACAATATAACTCACAAAATAGATTTCTCTCCTGTGCAACCAAAATTAACTTTAATAAAATATTAATAAAAAAGTTGAGTTGATACATGTTTGGTTGGAAGGAGACATGTATCACAGTGAGACAGGGGACTCTCTCATGCAAGCATGTACTCTTTTGGTGTATCTAAATGGATTATTACATAACAAGGTATAACATTTTGATTTAATTCGAACATAAGACTTTTACACGTATCAAAAGGTTTGACACTGTTCTGTTCCATGCACTACTGAAGAAAACAGTGATAGCATCTGTGAGTCTCCATTATTGAATTACAGATACAATTGATACTAGTTGGACATCTTTTAAGTGCCAATCAGCTTCTTCCATCTTGCATATCCTAGAACGAGCAGGAAAAGCAGTATAGCAACTGTAGTAGCACTTCCAACAAAAATTTCAAAGATGCCATTCACCTGGTACAATGTACACTGGAGATTCATGCCAAACACCCCAGCTACCAATGTTTCAGCAGCTATAGCAAATGATGCGATGGTCAATATCAATTGAAGCTGAATGAGCTCGTTTCGCTGGTTGTCGAGCTGGATATTCACGTAGTCTTCTGTATCATCAATGTACTCACGAACCTGTAAATCCAAGAGATAAATAGTTGCTCGAATAAATTAACAAGATACAGAAGATGCCAGAGCTAATTATTTGATAAGTACAATCTGATGATTTTGTTAAAAATGTATGAGATGTATGCATCTTTTATATTGTGAGCAGAGGGATGATTTGAGTTGAGTCTGAGTTTAAACCGTTACCAAATGAAACCAATCTTAAACAAGTTAGGAGATGTTTGGTTATTTTTTCTATGAAAGTTAAAAAGGCAAATATTCACCGATAATATCTTGTTGCGTGTTCCATCCAGCTGCATAAAATAAGCCTCAAGCAACATCTCCAAATCCTCAACATCATTGTCATCGAAAAAGTTGCTTGTCACCAGACTTCCACTCCTGTTAGAACTAATTCGATGAAGATGAGGCAAAGCAGAGCTGATGCCATTTGAACCTTCACCTCCCAACAAAGCCTCAGATTGCTGATTCTGGATCCACTTTCTTGTTAGATATAAATGTGCCATGTCTTCATTGTCATCCAGTAGATGTTCAATTTCATCCCTCACCTGATATAAAACAGTAATACTGTAAAATCATTTACATCTTTAAGTAAACACACACTGGTTTTGGCTGTAAAGTAATTTCTAGCTTATTTGTCATTATTCGTCAAATTATTGATATCCCAAGAAACAGGATTCATCAAACATACCTTCTGTACACGTGCAAGTAGGCGGGTTAGATTGCTTTTCAGACTCCGCACATGTTCAAGATTCTTAGTGCTAACGTTCCTGGCCAGCTCATCAAGCACAGGGTAAGCTTCTCTCTCAAGGTCCGCCACGTTAGTGTCCAGAAATGTACAGACAACCTCTAGTGCTATCTCCAGAACCTGAAACTCGAAAGGAAGCTCACATTGCAAACCCTCAACAGCTTCTGGCACAGGTAACCATTGCCCTGGGGTTGAAACTTGCAATTCATTATCTTGCACATCTGAAGGGCCTGCTCCATGGATCCTAGATTCATTTTTATGAGGCAGTTGCTGTCTTAATTGATCTACAAATGGAAGTACCTCCTGGCACAAAGGATCCAGTATCATGACTTCTTCAGCTGTGACTATAGCCTTTATAAACTCTAAATTGACAACCATGGCCTTTTCCCTAGCTGTGAAAGATTAAACACAAAGAAAACACACAAAGGATTGGAACATTAGAAAAAGATGAATAAGACCTTCCCTACTTTCTGTACTAACAAAGCTCAAAACAGGGTACAGTTTCCTTAAGTATAACAAGAATCACTCATGAGCTTATCTTGAAGACAACATATTGCTGCCTGCACAGGTTAAATTGTGCTAAATATTTGCATTATCCAGGTATAAATAGTAATGAGATTCAATCAACTAATAGGCTTGTACATCTCAAACCATACATATGATAGGAAAGTTTGATCTCAGTAAACCTTTTTAGATAGAAATTTGAAGCCAATTACACCACCTTTTTCCTTTTTTGGCAACCCAATTATACAAACTAAAAAAGTACAATTTCACAAGAATTCAAGTTTGGAATCCATAAATAGAAACATGGAAAAACAGAAAAACCAAAGTAAAACAACAGAGGTAAATGAAACCCACCGAGAATATTAGAGGAGTGAGAGAACAGAGGACCCAGAATCCTCAAATCCCTAGCAGGAATTCCGGCGCGTCTGATTATCGTGTTCTTGTCCAATTCCACGAGCTCCGACTTCCCAACCCTATCGAAACTCATCCAAAGCCTAGCTCCCCCTGCCTTCTTCTTCCCTTTCACCGACACCGCAGTCCCACCTCCACCACCAGAATTGCTCCCACTCGGAACCAAAGGAGAAGGGGAAGCGGCACCACTAGGCGAAGGCAGAGCCGGCGCTGCGGGCTTCGGAGGCTTCCGACTGGAGGACCCACGAAACGTCAATGTCCCCTTCCCCATTGACCCTTACCTACTATTCTCGTCTCCGTATATGAAAGAAGCTTTTGTTTATGGGCTATTTACTTGCTCCCTCACCTTCTGCGGCCAAGGAAAAGATGAGGTAGGATCGCAGGCTTCTTCCAATTCAGATTCTCCTTCTTCCATAAAAAAATAAAGCGTGTGATTTGCAGGAGAAGTGAGGAAGCGGGGAAGGTTTGTTTGTTACAGTTAGCACTTTAGTAGAAAACCAACTTTAAATTCATTTTTTATTCTTTAACTTTTTCTAAATTTGCATTTTGTACCCCTCAACTTTTGTTGGCTTCCAATTTTCCTCCCTATTCCTATTATTTTTTAGATAAATGTGTTTTTTTCAGTATGAATTTTTTTTTTTTTGTTATTTGAATATTAAATAAACATAAAAAGCAGTTTTGTTGATGATGTTTTTCTGTATTTTTAATTTTTAACACTTCCTCTTTTTTTAATAAAATAAGTTGTTTATTTGTTGCTTGGGGAGGGAAGATTGGTTTGTAGCAGTTATTGCTTATTGACGAAGGCTAATTTTAAATTCTTTTTTTTTTTTCACTTTTTGTAGATTTACATTTTTACTCCTCAGGTTTTTCGGGTTTCTCAATTTTCCTCACTATTACTCCAACTTTTAATTTTTTTTAGCACTTCCTCTTTTTCTAATGAAAATAATTTTTTTTTATAAAAAAATTGTCAACTAACAACTACCTGTTACCCACGTGCTCTCATATCCTTCCCTTTCCTTCCCTCCCTGGGTTGCCCTGTTTCAAACATTAAGTCGTAATAATAAATAGATAACAATAACAGTTTTGTTGGCTAAAATATTTTTGAAAAGCCTTTTTTCTCCCTCTTTTTTTTTTTTATTACAACGAAAAAAATATCACACATCATTTTACAACTCAAGAGTGACATATTGTAGTAAGTGCTTATTAAAAGTAATAGTTTGGACACTTAAATCTGGTATATATTTTATTTGAGAAATATTTTATATAATCTGACCTAATTATAAAACTAACTTAAAAAAGGAAAAAAGGGTCTCTAAGGTCTACTTTTGACAATTTAAACTGCATAAAAAGGACTCATTTTATTTTAAAACCAACATTTTTTTTATCTTTTGTGTAGTACAACTGATTTATGAAAATATGCAATCAATCCCAAAACAAATGACAAATATACTAGATCTAAGGTATATTTGGTGAAATTTGTAAGAGTTTTAGTTTTTAAATACTATTCATATTTCATAAATTTAAATTTTTCTCTTAAATTTTTATATTTTTTAATTTAAAAAGACTTTAAATAATAAATTTTAAAAAGTTTCAAATTTGTGTTTTTTATAAATTTTTTTTACTTTTTTTTTATTTTTAAAAATAACTTTAAAATTTTTTCTTCAATAAAAACTTAAAATCATCACTCATAAACAATATATAAATATATTAAAAAAAGTAAAAGTTCTTAAGTTTCATCAAACATGCTACTACTAAATAAATCGACAGTTTAATAACATTCTAGGTGATCGAGAAGAATATATGTCTCCAATCTTCTACATCCAGAGAGAAACATCTAAAGAAGACAAAATGAAGTGCATATATTCATATTCTGCTTCGGTGCTACGCTATAAAAGCTAGGTCTTAGAATTAGTGATTGGTCAATCCTGTAGTACAAAGCATACAACACGAATATGCTTCAAAGTTATTTGCTAATCCAACATTTATCCTCAAATACAAAGTTACAAATGCAGGAAGATGGTGGAACCAGAAAAAAAAAAGGGTAATAAAAATGAATGGAGGAGCTAAGATGCAGAGAGAGGAATTGGTTTTACTGCACTTTGAATTCGCCGAAAAGCTGTTCTTACTCTTTCCTTGAGACCTTCATTTTCACTCTCAACATCCCCTGTGTTTCTGTCAATGTAAGCCACATTTCCATCAACACTTAGAACTATCCTCCCGTCTTCTCCTAATTTCACATCTCCAAAGAGTGAAACAAGGAGTGCATGGATAACCTTTTCTGCTTTCTTCCCATTTTCTTCTTCTGTTTTCACAACCTCGGTGTCAGCTACAACCTTGGGGATTTCCCGTCTGATATTCAGAACCAGAGCCACAATAGAATCTGACACCATATCACTTATGGGATCTGATGTCCAATGCAGTGAGATATGCGTTTCTGAATCCTGACTCACTGTCACTCGATCGTGTACTTGCAGTGATGGAACACCTGATTCTTCATCCATTGAAGATTCCACACTCTCATAAATCTGCTCAAGGCGATGTTTTATCACACCAAAGGCACCAGAATATGGGATGGTAACCCTCTGAGTGATATTTGTTGTTGTTAGCTGTGAGAAGACATGGAGATCATCAGGAGCCATTATCTGGTATGTGAAGTCATTCTTTGCTAGAATTCCACTGACCGTTTCACCAACTTCTGGGGTCTTCTCGGCCAATCTTCCAATGGTTTTAGCCATTTTCTCAGAGTTGAAGTACATCTCGACAGACTGACAATTCTTAGGGGTAATAATCTTGTTGTTGCCATCAGGCAACTCGGTAATAAGCTTCTGTTTCAGTCTCTCCATTTGGTGTGCTTCACCATGAACAAGAATTATGTTGGGAGGCAAAAGCTCTTTCAAAAAGGTACTTGTCTGAGCATAGTCCGCATGAGCAGAGAATGAAATATAATGAACCTGCATGTTGAGAGGAGCAGTGAGACCATTCATGAGAGTCACCTCCTTTGGTTCACTAATAATTGTTTTGGCCAATGTGCCTTCAACAAGATAACCAGGTATGACACAAGCATTTTTCTTATCAGAACACCACATGTCAAACAGTTGTCTTGACAACCCACTTTGAAGCCCACCAGGACTTGCCATTACCACAGATGGGCCAACATCCCTAAATTCATCAATGCTATTCAATGAATCAATGTGTTTGAATTTGAATGGATTCGAAGTAGCAAACTGATTGCGAACCCTCTCATTCATAGAAAGTATGTATGTCTGATAAACGGCCATACACTTCTTTGCAAGTGGAGAAGCATAATATATCTGAATATTGTGGAGCTCAGGATGGTTTGACCAATACTCGTCAAGTATCAGCAGAAGTTCTTGGGCACGACCAAGGGCAAATGCTGGGATTAGAACACGACCTCCTTGAGAAACAGTTGAATGGATGACATCGGTAAAGCGCTTCTCCCGAATGTGTCTTGGTTGGTGAAGCTGGACACCATAGGTAGATTCAATAATGCATATATCTGGGGAAAACTGGGGGAGCTCAGCAGCACGGAGATGCCTATCCTCTTCCCGAGAATAATCTCCAGTGTAGAGAACTCGAACTCCAGCAATATCAACCATGAACATTGCAGCACCAAGAACATGACCAGCAGTATAGCACCAGAATTTAATCCCATTTACTTCCACTGTTTGGTGGAAGTCAATAACCTGCAGTCAAGCATATAAAATCATAATGTTCTTAATTGTTTCAGTGTTACATGAACCACCAATATCGCAGCATTGTCATTACAAAGACTACCAAATTAGAGGTATAAATTATTCAAGTAGATAAAGGCTAAGCATAAACAAAAACTTATATTAAAGGAACACTTTTGACCATGTTTTCATTAACATGGATGTGATGCATCAAGTGTATGCTCGTAAGAACAAGGTCCTAACATTTTACTTAACATTTTACTTAACAAACATCTCTGAACGCAATTCCTTTGCTTAGATTGCTAATATAATTAAATTGAGAAAATTATTCCAGACTCCTTTTATAAAGAACAAGATCAGTGGAACAAATGAAAGGTCAGACACCAGAGTACAAACTGGAAACCTAGAACAAGTGGAAACTAAATGTGCAGAAAACTAAGAATGCATACCTCAATTTTATCCATTGAGCGAGTGATATCTTGGTCATCAAACAACATGTCTTCAACTGAAACTTTGCTCACTTTTACATAGTCAGACAGTAGCAGCCTGTAGATAGCCTTAGTTGCATGAGTCATGAATACTCGACCTCTGAATGTTGTCTGGTAGAAATTTTATCTTGCTTTTAGTACTAACTAAAGAAAACATGTACAATTATACATAAACAGATAAACACACTCCGAAAAGAAACAAACCTTCTCCAGGAAATAAGGTAGAGATGCAGCATGATCCAAATGAAAGCTGCAAACAAAAAGGCATATCCTTTCAAGTTCAAAACTTCTCCTCAAGATCGAAAATCGTCAAACGAAAGATGCAGAGAATTTTAATCATAAACAAATAGAACATGAAAGAAAGGAACCTTAAAACAACAAAGCAAAGTAACGTACTGTGTAATGAGAAGGACATCTATTGTTGAAGGATCAATCTCATCAAAGTATGGCAAAGCAGCCATGCCAGTGTAACCAAGATGAATTCCACAGTCAAACTATCATCATATAAAAAAGGTTCAAAAGCTTTGAACTCCATTTCTGTTCCTAAGAAAAACTGCAATCACTTAAAGCAATACCCCCCC